TAGCCGAACTTCTCAAAGAAACGTGAACCCAGGACGCCGCCAGCCCAAAATCCACATCAAACAGTTACCTTTTCTGGATGCATTGAACTCCTTTAGATCTTATCGGGATTGGTATCGTCCCAAATTCGGCAATTCTTTTTGTTGGTTTACTCATTTATCCAAAAATGGGCCTCATCACTGTAGATGATCTTTCGATAAAAATTGGGGTCAGTTTCCAACTGCTACAGAGCCCATTCAGTGAACACACGTCATCGTCTATGGGCGTTTATCTTCAGCTTCTTCAGTAGATACCCAAAAAATTAAGCTTATTTACCTGAATTGCAACAATACCGTCGCATACCATCGCAATATCAATATAAAATGTACCATTCCCTTCCTTGGTGATCGTTTCAACCGAATAAGAATAGCAACGCCAATTCAACTGAATATCATTAGAATTCGTCATCTTCTTCACGTGTCATATCAGAGTTATCAGACCTTGGTGATCACCATTGCGAATGCTTCTCGATTTTAGCTGACATAATATATACAGGGACCAGTGCGTTTTAAAAAGATTAGTGGGTATCTTCGGATATCCATTTATTCAATTTTAATTCTGTTTTAACGGAAGTTAATAAAAAGTTCGTGTTAACGAGGCCTTAGTATTTATAGTCGTTATATTTGCTGGCTTCCATTTGCTTTTTTTCGCAGATATATTTTTTAATTGAACTAATTTAAAAACTGTTCGTAAATTTTGTAAAATTTGCAGAATGCAGGCACATTTTTTTGTTTATGGTGTTCTTGGTAATATAAAAATTTAGATTAGATAACCGTAATGTCGCATCGCGTATCATTTCAAGGTAATAAATAGATGTTGAGTTAGGGTCTGATAATAAATAAGTGGTAAACAAACAGGCGTTTGTTTGGGTAAAACTGCAATATGTATTACTATTAATATGGTATATTATCTTTTACGAGATATAAAACTATCGAAACTTCGGATCAAAATGTCTCAGCGCCCTCTCTGGAGTACGAGTGTAATCACAAACTACCAACGGCAAGTGTATAGTTCGCAAAAGCTTATTTTTATATTCAATATCTTTTTTTGCGTTTAACACATTTTGTTATCGCTGAAAATGAGAAGAGTTCAATACACTATTCTAAACGTTTATTCAACTTATTTAATTCATCCAAAAAGTAGCAATTTGGAATATGATTCGACGCTTTCAAGTTTTATCTGTGATGTTTTTTGCTGTTTTTTATCTCTGTCGTATATATAATTAAATAATTTGAGAACTATTGTCCAAATGTTTCTTTATAGTAGTTGGTATTATTTTTTATGTCGAAAAAGGTTAAATGTGAAATTTATCAATTAATTTCAATATTGTGTGTATGCAAATTAAAAAACGGTACCTGGGATGTTGAATTAACACTTCTGCTTCTTCCACAGTGCACTGGGTCATGGGCAGCATCTCTTTAAACTTGAGTGGTCGATTTCATGCCAAACTGGAGTTTTTCTCGCTTTGGTTTATACAAGACTAAGTGTGTGTGTAGTCCGAAATAGCTTCGCCTCCCTTAAGTATCATAGGGGCGGTGCGTACAGGACTGTATTTATTTACGTATATAAGACATACATACTTTAATTAAATAATTAAAATATACAATAAAATAATAAGAAAATACTTAATACAAAAAGAAGTTCAGGGAGGTTTCCGGGTTAGTGCAATTAAGCATAAAACTAGATTATTTTATTACAAACATTAATATTTAACTCACCAGGCTTCCGGGTTGAACCGCGTCGATTTTCACTTTGCCGAACTTTCGACATTCCCTCTGATGTCTTATTCAGTAGTGCAGTGAACAGTGTAGTGTCAAGGGCTCAGGGTGATCTTGCAGTGGGATCTTGTACTATTACGTCCAGCCTCTAAGCAACATTACTGTGTGAAACAATTCCATTTACGACAATCCAAACCATTATTGCAGATTTCGCACCAATTCTATGAATTCATATACTTTTTTGATTGTCTGTTCGGATTTTACTCTGCATTATGCATTGTGGTGTCCCATATTTTCAATTACGAATACGAATGGGAAACATGCCCTAGGATATGCTTCTTTTTTTTTTTGTTACATATTATTAATTTCCATATCGTTTGCTATTCTCTCCAGCAGCTGTCGGTTTGTAACTAGGTGAGCACAGGAGGCTTTTAAAATTGGCTTTAAGATCCATCTTTGTAAATATTCTGGTTATTTGTTGGTTCTTTATTGAGAGTCCAACTTTGGAGTCCATAGCATAAGAGATGGTTCTGGAAAATAAAGCAAAGAACAGCAAATTCTGGAAATTTATTATTAGAATGCAATTGGTCTAAAAGATCTAAAAATCTTCATAAATAAAGGATGCTGTATCGATAAAACAGATTTGAAATGGGAAACAGAAAAAAGCGAACTGCAAGAGACGGAGGGCAACTAAAACTATATAAAAAAGATAAGAATATAAGAATGAAAGATACCTTTCGAAGTATGAGCATGGCTGATGCTAATTATGAAATACAAAATATATGAAAGCATCGTTAGAGTAAGTAAAATGAGGCACATTAAAATGGTGTGGACACATGGCTGAAGAGAGAAAGGGTAACCGCTTTAACAGTGACTCTTGGTACCTAAATAAATGATCAAATGGCAAACTAAATATACAATAATGGAAGAAGACATAAATATGCGGAGATAAGAAACACTAAAAGCAATGATAGATTCGGAACCTATTATGAATTAACCAAATGCTCCGTAAAGAGTTTATTTCGTCCTCAACAACAGCATTAGTTATGATCTCAATAACTTAATACGCCACTAGTGAGGTCAGTAATTTTTTTTTGTAAAATTATCGTCTGAAAAGTCAAAGTGTCTGCTTGAAATGAGCAAAAAAACATTAAATTGGGAACAGAACATCTCACTAGACAAGTCCGTCAAAAATATGGATTATATAGAATTCTTCTACAACGGTGTAAGTTCTCAAAAGTAGTTAGTTACTCTTACATCTTCAGAGATAAAGCTGATCAAGAAAATCCTAAAATTTTAAAGTAAAAACAGTTACAGCTTCACAAATACAAATGTTTAGACAAAATTGAGTTTAAACCAATTAAGGAAATTGTGGTATAGATAATTTTATTCAGATAAAGAATTATTTTTACTACAAAATAATTTGTATCCAAAATTTGCAGTAAGAACTTTATCCTTTCTATCTTATTTATTACAGAAATGTAACAAATTTAATAACGTAGTAAATAATAAATATTACATATTATTTTCCTTTTAAAGTATAATTTTTATTAAAAAAATTATAAATAGATATTTATAATCTATAATATAAAAATGAATCGCAAAATGTGTTGGTAAGCGCATAACTCAACAACGCATGGACCAATCTTAACAATTCTTTTTTTTTAAATGTTCTTTGAAGTCTAAGGATGGTTTTTCCGGCATGAAAAATTCGAATAATTTCCGGGGAAACCCTAAAACAGCCCTTTTCTTTTCTCATACTAATATTTTGAACTAAATGTAGAGTCAATTTGAACTTCATTGCTATTCAATAAAGTTTATATTAAATTACAAGCATTCACTGTTGTCTAAACAATGTAGGTGTGTTCCTTTTAATAAATTCCACAGGGAGTTGCAAAATAAGACGAAAAAACACCTTTATTTTTACACTCCGTATATGGGTAAAACATTGACATTTTCCAGAAAACATTAATACAGTTATTACTTAGAAATAAATCTGCAATGATCTTTTTTCCATAAATAAATAAAATCTTTTATAAATAAATAAAATATTATACTTGGAATCAATTCTCAATGCAAATTCTCAAATTATACATCCAAGCAATAATTTTTATTTACGTTTACGTATGAACGTTTTTATTTACGTTTACGTATGAACGTTTTTATTTACGACTGCTATTAGTCAATTTACGTGGCCCAACATCATTCCAACATTTACGAACTATTGATGGTGATTTGTGTGGATCATACAAAGAAGCCTGCCAACGTTTGCATTTGCTAGAAAATTACTCTCATTGGAATCAAACTCTCGATGATGCTGTAATATCATCACAAGCTCATCAAATACGAACATTGTTTTCTATAATCATATTTACATGCTTTCCATCAAACCCAAATGATTTGTGAATCAAGTACAAATATAATATGTGTGATGATATTTTGTATCAAATTCGGATTAGAAGGGGAAATCCAAATATACAAATAAGCGAAGAAATTTACAATAAAGCATTGATTTCAATTGAGGACACGTGCTTGATGATGTCAAACAAACTATTATTTCAATTAGGCCTATGCATGATGTTTCTAACCAAGAGTTGCACCGAGAAAAACTGTATGATCTCAACACAAAAGAATTGTCAGTATCATATTCCATTTAGACAGTTCTTGTATTTTGATGATCAGGTTATCCATTGCTTGACTTAAATCCAGCTGACTCTAAATGTATCTGTGAACGATTTCCGATATTTCCAGAGCTTTGGGCTTTCCAGATTGTTTTGCAACATACTATACTGTCATAGAATTTGTTTTTCAGATATTTTATTACAAATCTCATGTGTATTTGAAACATCCTGTAGCATTGAGAATCATTATTTAACTCTAGATTCTGCATATGCCAGAAGTGATGCTATTATTAAATATAGCGCTGTTGGTGTTAATTCAAGACATTCATAGCCACTTTTACTGGGCTAAATTAAACATAGTGCAAGTGAATGTGTCTCTTTGTCTAACGCCATTATTAATTGTGATTTGCTCTCTACATTTTCGGTTGTGTTGTTTGATTAAGTTTACCAAAGAATTTGGTATTTTTGTGTTACATTGTAAATGACCTTCCTTTTTTATGCAAAACAAAAAAACTAGTTACATATTATGCATTTGTAAACATTGAAACAACCAATAATTCCATTAGTTACCTAATTAATGGGTAAGTTGATCCAAAATATTTTATATTGTGTTTTATTTTTCAGGAGGTCTCTGTATAATCTGTGCGATGCGCAAAACTCTTCAAGACTCGCAACAACGTAACGCCAACTCGATCCGTCCATTGTTGATCTACAACAAATTGAGATTGGTGTGTCGAAATCTAATACCCGGTCGACAGGAAGACGCCCACGAGTTCTTGAGATATCTAGTCGAAGCTATGGAGAAAGCATACTTGAGTCGATTCAACAATTACACCGAATTCGACTCGAAAGTAAAAGAAACCACCCCTCTGAATCAGATTCTCGGGGGGTACTTGAGGTCGGCGGTGAGATGCCTGAAGTGCGGCCATGTCAGTACGACGTTTCAGCATTTTCAGGATTTATTGTTAGATATAAGAAAAGCCCAAACGTTGGACGAAGCTCTAGAATTGTACTTTTCTAGAGAGAAGCTTGATGACGAATCTTATCAGTGTGAATCTTGTCAGAAAAAGGTAAGTAAATTCTGTATATTTGTTCTAAAAATATAATATTCAGTTATACTGTGTATAATCGGCAAAATTAATTTTATACAATGTTTAAATAAATCGAAACTACAAACATTCCATTTTATTTCGACTCCATTTGTAATGTTTGGCTATCTCAATCCAACATAGAAAAGAAGGAAATAAATAACCTAGCACTGGCAGAACATAACATCTCATAGTATTTTTAATTCTGAGATCTCCAGTAAAAAATACCTGTTTCATTTTCATAAATATGCTCCGGGCTTTTTTAATTCAGATGTTTCTTTCGTGAGAATGAATGGGTTATACAATATATTTTGAAAATTTCAAAACATGGATCATCTAACAGCCATTGAGATCTAAAAATGCTTTGATGGCTTCTACATAAATGATTCATTTATTTCTTGTACAAACCACATTGCTCTGAAATCTTACAGTTTAGGTTAAAACAACAACTTAAATTAAAAATTAAACACAGCACAATACAATTTTATAATTAAAATACATACATTCAAAGAGGTATATATGTTAAATCCATATAAAAATTAATGAAAACAATAAAACTTTCATATTTCGTTTAACCAGTGGTTGACATAAGCTAGTTGCATTCCATTAAGTTTGCTTCACAGCACTGTCTGCTCACAGTTTACAAGACGACACTGTGTAGATGTCTCATTGATTGGATCACATTGCATGCACAGCTGTCATGTCATTCAATGTATCCCCAGGATACCATATTTTGCATGGATCTTCCAACATCCGTACATAGTCTATTTAGCGTTTTTGCCAGTCAAGTTGTGCACCTAGCTGGAGTACTTTTGAAGTACTTGTGATATTTCCTGTTTGCTGTAGTCATATGCGACCTTTAGATCAATGAAAACGATTCCAGTCTTTATTCCCTTATAATATCCATCTTCTATGTACTGGGTAAGATTAAGTATTTCGTTAGTACAGGACCTTCCTGCTCTAAAGCTTATCTGTCCTTTTAGGGTTTTCTTCTGTGTATTGATTGATTCTATTCAATATCAATCTTACTCATCAGCTTAAAGTGCAGCTTGACTATTGAACACAGAAGTGATATAGGGCGGTTACGTTTTGGATTCTCTGGATTCTTTCCTTGTTTTAATGCAGTTACCACTTTAGATTGTCACCATAGTTTTGGAATCGTTGCCTGTGCCCAACATTATTTTATGAACTTTAATAGCCATTTTTTTCGAAAAACTGCCCATACTTTGAGGATATCATTTATATCTTAAGTTCTGCAATGGCTATGTCCAGTTCGTCCATGGTAAATTCCCGGTTGAATTTATCAGATTCCAGGTACTGACCTTTCTTTATAAACTGTTTAGGGTGTTTTTGCCCTTTACATGGGTTGCCGTTCTGTACAAGTTGTATAGCTATCTGATTTGTAGTTACATTGACATGAATGGATTGCACCGTCTTGTGCAATCCTTTTTATTAATTTCCAGGCTTTCCTGCTACTGTGGGTCATTATAGTGTTTTCAACTCTCTGTATTCATGCCTGCCATCTAGTTTTTGATTAGTCTTTACCTGCTTCAATCGTCATTGGGGATAGGGGGTTCTAATCATATAACAGGCAGTAGTTTTCATACAGTTTGCAATTTTTCTGTCACTTCAGAGATATAGTTGGTTCTAAATCCTTTCGGGATAGGCTTTCTTGATGCCTGCTTTAATTTGAATCATGATGGGTTTGTGTTAAGAATTTGGAATTGGGTTAAGCACCTTTTTGAGGCACAAGTTACTAATATTATTATAAGCAAAAATTATGTATGGATTGTATCTTCTTTTCCCTCTTATACTATTAAAGGATGATGGTTGCTTCGTGTCATGGATGAGAGTATGTTATTTTCAGTTCAGCTTTCCACTCTTTCTCCTATATCTCCATCAGTTTCTCTATAACCCCAGGATGTGCTGTGGCTTTTGAAGTCACCAATATTAATAATTGTATGTTTATCATCTAGTGTCATCAGGCATGATTAATTGTAGATCAGGCCCATTGTGTGTCCCTTAAGGCACAAGATGTCGTATTTATGTTCTTTTATTTATGTTCTTCGCACAAAGATGCAATGAATATTTGTTTTGCTGGAGATAGGCCTTCCACGTTAAACTAAATAATTTTCATGTTTGGTTTAGATAAAATCCGTGTTCTACTTTTTAGTGACATTATTGTAATTGTAGTTCGTTGTTTAGCAGAATTTGCGGCCTGTTGTCAGGTTCAGCAGGGATCGCGACGTGGAGGCTTCTGCTATTAACCCCAACATAAATGATGACTGGTCCCGTCATAAAGGCTTAGCTTTGTCATATATACCTTCCGTAAATCGTTTGTGCATAAATATTTGGAAATAATTAAAATTGTTCTGATTATCTCATAATAATATTAAATTGTAGGTACTGGCCACAAAGCAGTTTTCAATAGAAAGGACGCCGATGGTGCTTTGCATTCAACTAAAACGATTTTCAGTTAGTAACAATAAAATAACCAAACACATCAACTTTAGACAAAGACTGGATCTCACGAAGTACGCGAGACATCGCCCTAACGTTCCTCTGATATACAGGCTAGTGGCGTTGGTGACGCACATGGGCCCTACTGTCAGTTGCGGTCATTACACGGCTGTCGCGCAGGCACCTTCAGGAAATTTCTTTCAATTCGATGATAGTATGGTAAGTGTTTTAATTGGTATCATAATAAAATATTTCTCTACAATTATTGGTGGTTCTTCAAACATAAACCACTTTACTTTTTAATAGATTTTCATACTATTGTTGATTAAATTTCGTATACAGTATATATATATATATATATATATATATATATATATATATATATATATATATATATATATATATTTAAATAGGACACCCTGTATATTGTCTGATATTTAGATTCCATTCGTAATCCCTGTTTGTTCTTACAGTATAGGATTTGACACTATTATATGGAGTATTTAACAAGTTATAAATATTTTTATTTCGATATTGTTATGCAATAAACCAACTGTAGGCAAAGAAGAATAAATAGGTATTCATTTTACCTAATAAGGTAAACAGTATACTCTAGATTTCAAATTAAGTTTAACAGAAATTATTGACAAATATTAGTATCCAGAGTGAACTACAAAAGGAAGTTACGTCTTCCAATAGGGGTTTCTCAACTTTTGACAGTTGGTAGCGGTCATATTGTTAAAGCTACATCTGTTAAATCGTTGCCATTTATTCAGTCTACTTTGCCAAATCACCATGGATGGATACAGCGTAAAACAACATGTGCGAATAATAAAATTGTTTTATCAAAATGGGTGTTATGTTCTGACAACGTCCAGCGCGCTTCGCCCACTTTATGGTCCCCATATTCGCAGTGTGATGGGTAAATTTGAGTCCACTGGTTCAACAAACAATCAACCTCCCTAGGTTGACGTAACGTAACATATACCAAAAAGATCGCCGAATGAAGAGACTGTAACAAGAATTTTGCTGAGCGCCAATATAACAAGAATGGGATTTGTTTCTGGTGAAACAATGTAACAGGAAATAAATAAAGGGTAAATATGAATTTTAAAATATAATAAAATTAATGCTGGCTAGCGACTATGCAGGAGAATGACCACTTGACTCTCAAAGAGGGATTCGGCCAATTTGCATGCCCTACAGAGACCGTAAGATGTAAGAATTAATGACTAGAAACTACCAAGAAATAAACAGATGAAAGATAAAGTTGCTCTACTGAATGTTTGGGCGCCAGGAAGTTAAATGTTTTCTTCTGAGATATCTTGTATTGCTGAAATATAAAAAGTTGGGTACTAATTGAAATATTAAATTTTTAACCACAACTTTAATAATTACCCAAAACTTATGTACAGACTATGTTAAATACTTATCTATGACCCACCACCTCTTATGTACAATTAACTTATCTACAGTGTAGGAAAAATTTTATGGTCGGTATGGTAAAATTTAACAGGATATCTAACGCAGATATAAAATCATATTTTCAGCGAATAGACAAAGATAACAATCATATTTCACCTTGGTCTCCCCTCCTCAAATATTTTTAACACCTATTGACCATTAGTGAGACGAATAGTTCCGATCAGAGATATTTTACATATTATCTGGTTCCGATCCTAATATACCTAAAAAACTAGAGGTGGGTCCTCCCGTTTTTTAAATTTTTATCGGAACCGTTTTTCGTAAACTGTAACTAGTTGATTCAAATTAGCGAGTACACAAACATATTGGCTATTATCGTTTATGTGTATAAGTATTGAAGTGAAAGAACCTAACGAAGGATATATTTGTTATAACTTGAAAAATAAATTAAACAATACAAATAGTACTTACATTTACATTAAATCGTACTTACATTTACATTACACGTTATTATTAAATCGCGAATCGTCTAAATTGACATTTAAAAACAAGTTTTTCTACTTTTCTTGGTAACCGTGTTCTTCTTTTATTTAAAATTAAACCAGATTTTAAACATGTGTTCACAAGGAAAAGATTTTGTTACAATTCTACAATATTTTATGAATATAGTGGCTAAGTTAGGATATACATGGCGATGGTTTTTCCACCACGGTAATGGACAGTTCCAATCTCCGTTCGAAATTTATTGTGGGTAATATATTATCAGACAAATACATGTCGACTTCTTGTATATCTCTCGATACAGTTGTATGTTTAGATGAGTCATGTCCAATTAATTCATCAAAAATACACAATGGACTTAAGTCGTCTTTATCAGTTTCTTTTTCTTGACTAAACTTATTGATTTACTAAACTTATGCAAAGACTCTATTCATCCGTTTTCTATAGGTGAAGAACCAGCTTTTAAAAAGTTTGCAGGGTGGATTCCTGGATATAAACCGCCAACAAGAAAAATTGTTAGATTCATTACTTCAGGAATGTTATGTCAAAACTGATTTGATAATAGATAAAATAAAAAGTCCTTTTTTCGACAATTCTGCAAAAAACTTAAAAAAAAAGTACCTTATCTTCAGAAAAGCTTTTAAAGTATTAATTACAACATAACAAAGTTCCCAAACGGCCAATCCAAGACGTGGAAACTAGGTAGAACTTCACCTATTACAGGTTAAAAAGAATGACTGAGTTAGAAGAGGCAATCCGTTTCACTTCTTCTTTTTTAAGTTCCATCTTCTATCGAAGGTTGGAAATCATCATGGCTATGCCGACTCTGTTGACTGCCGCTCTAAAAAGGTCTGCACTACTGCATTCAAACCATTCCCTTAAGTTCTTAAGCCAGGATATTTTTCGTCTTCCCACATTTCGCTTTTCTCGGATTTTGCCCTGCATAATAAGTTGTAATAATGCGTATTTTTGCCCTCTCATCACATGTCCCAAGTACTCAAGTATTCGTCTTTTAATAGTTTATATTATTTCTGCCTCATTTCCTATCCTTCTAGTTACTTCAATGTTTGACATTTTTTGAATCCATGATATTCGTAGGATTCTTCTGTAACACCAAAATTCAAAGGCGGCCAACTTATTCAGATGAACTTGTTTTGGTGTCCAAGCTTTCAGACCATAAAGAAGAGTAGAGAACACGTAACATCGAAGCATTCTCAGGCGTAGTTCTAACCTTATATCCCGACAACGAAGAAACTTTTTAAGTTTAATAAATGATGTACGTGCTATTTCAATACGTGTCTTAATTTCTTTGGTTTGGTCTACATCTGATGTTATCCATGTTCCTAAGTATTTATAGTTATTAACACTCTTAATTGCAGTATCTTCAATAGTCAATTGGATATTGGTGCAGATTTAGTCATGATCATGCATTTAGTTTTCATTAAATTTATCTTCAGTCCGTACTCATGACAGCGTTCATTAAGGCGTTGCATTAGGTTCTGTAAATCATTGTTGTTATCCGTAATTATTACTGTATCGTCTGCAAAACGTAAGTTATTCAAAACTTCTCCATTGATAGATATACCTTCTATTGAGTCTGAGAGCGCTTCTTAAAATACCGATCACTGTAGACATTGAAAAGTAGTGGGGACAGCACGCAACCCTGGCGGACTCCTCTCTGTATTTTGATATTTTCGGTGTACTGGCGTGTATTTCCGTTCCACATCGGTATTAAATAATACAGACTTAGACTTAGACCAAATCTAAATAATGAAGACTAGATTATTTTTTCGTAATTGTCCCAAATTTTACGGTCTTTTAAAGAAATAACAAGTACAATGAGTGGCCAAAAATACTTGAATGATAGTTCAGTGATTGTTCTGGTACCCTGCCTGCAAAAATCTTGCAATAAAATTTTAGCAAACAGTAACCTTACATCCATAGTATCCGACGTAGTACGGGTTTTTATTACTAATTACGGATAATTACTAATCTCTTTTTTAGCAAAAAGATTTAAAGGGATAGAATACAGTGGCATATTGTCATTATGTACGTTTATGGATTCACGATTTAAAGTGCAGGGATTTTCTGATAAAAATGACGCTAAAAAAACAAAAGAAAGAGTTAAGAAGCTGGTTACTTCTATAATTAAAAAACAAGAAGATTATACTATTGAAAATCAACCAGTATAAGAAAAAGAAACCGATAAAGATGACTTAAGTCCACGGTGTATTTTTGATCAATTAATTGGACATGACTCATCTAAACGTACACCTGTAGCGAGAGTCCATTACAATGGTGGAAAAACCATCGCCATGTATCTCCTAACTTAACCAATATATTCATAAAGTATTGTAAATGTGAACACATGTACAAAATCAGGTTTAATTTTAAATAAAAGAAAAATACGGTTAATAAGAAGTAAAGTACAAAAACTTATGTTTTTAAATGTCAATTTAGGCGATTCGTGATTTAATAATAACGTATAATGTAAACGTAGGTACGATTTACTATTTGTATTGTTTAGTTTAGTTTTCAAATTATAATAAAATCTTTTATTAGTTTCCTTCACTTCAATAAATATACACATAAACGATAATAGCCATTATGTTTGTTTATGTAGGTAGTTTCTTACTTGAAACTACTATTAAAAAATCATAGTTACTTGTTTACGAAAATCGGTTTTGCGACGTTAATGACCCACCTCTATTCGTAAATACCTGTGTACCCCTTGATTCGGTCAAAACCACGCGACACGCCACGTTGGCAAATAGTTTTGTACGAAGCTTTTTTATTTATATGCAGTTTAATATTTTTATTGAAAATAAGGCATAATGTCACTTTAAAATAAGCTTATTTTGATGTTTAGATTTTTAATTCGGAAATCGTTTTTAAAATACCAAACATTAATAAATTTTATTTATATAAAACGATTTCCGAAGTATAAATCAAAATGATATATTACACTTATTGTAAAGTAAAATTGTGACATATTCCCAATAAAAAACAATAAGCTGCCATTTAAATCCATTTCGCCCAAATTTCATTATCTTGGAGCATTGTTCAAATGCGAAAAAGACAACAGGTCAAATAAAACCAATAAGTTTGGCAACATTGAATTTCCCCTTTTTATTATATCCACTCCATATCCACTCATTTATGTTCCGTGATATAAAAGGCGGACACCTAATATATCTCTCTCTTTTTAAACAGTTGTTTCTCACTCCATCTCATGTAAGGTCCATACCGACCATAAACTTTTACCTATACTGTATATTTACAATAAAATCCCTGAAAATAATTATAAAACAATTTACCCCCTAATATACCTCTTAATTTTAAATTCTGACAAAGGTTATACTTAATAATTATGTATAAATAATAAATATAAAAAATACTACTCACTAATAATTTAGTTTTCGTTAATTAAATGTTTAAATTTTCAAATGAAACTCTCCGGATATGTGTGCACACGATAACCTAATAAAGAGAGATTCAAGGGAGAGTTAAAACCTCATCCCTTGGTAGACAATAAATAATTGAAATTAAGTTACAATGATTAATATTTTATGAAAAAGTGAATGTAATTATTATTAATGATATATATTGAAATTAAAGTGAACCAAAAGTTAAAACCTTGAAGAGGATGTTGCAAAAGTTATAAAAAATACTGGAATGAGAAGCAAAAAAAAATAAAAATAAGTTCTTCCTGCCGGTTTCCGTCGGTTGATCTGGAAGATGATCCGGTGAAGAACTAGATTCAGGTGGGTACAGGCACACCAAGCCTGGATTCCATGTAATAAAAAATTCTTCTTAAATCCCCATATAAAACCCCTAAACTTAAAATTTCTTCCCCTTCTCCTTAATAAATATAACCCAAAATCTAAAGGTTTCTTCCCTGACTTGTGACTGGATTCCGGAAGTAGGCTAAAAAAAGGAACAATTGTGTTACTTCATGTCCTTTGTACATACAAAAAGGTATGAAAAAAAACACACAAGGTTTATCAACCTTGAAAGGTGATACAAGAAATGTCAGCAAGTGACCTTAAATTGAAATAAAAACCTTAATGGTTTTGGTAAATAGTGACCTTCGAATGGTATGACAATGTTTTTTATAAGATAGTTTTAACGGAAAGCGTGATCTTTATATATTATAGAATAGGAAAAAAAGAAATATTAGCCGGTTTAAACGGTAGGAACTTGAAATAAATAATTGTTTGCTTTCATCCTTGGAAGGAAATAAAATTTGAGATAGATATGAAATCTAATACTTGTAATAAATTTAGGTATTAATGAAATAAGGTGAAATATGACATGTATAAAATATGTGAAATACCTATCAAGAAGGAATTAAAATAGATTTGAATTTCACTAACAATGGCGGATGGTATGAAAGGATTTTTCCATGTAATTTATTTATAATTTAATCTTACCGGCTGTTGTGATCCAACTGAAAGTATCCTCGTACAAAACACCCAAAATAACTTAAATTGTTGCTTTTAAATCAACAGCTCTTCATAAAAAAAAAATAAACTTAAACTAAATTCCTGAAAAAATGGCACCTCCCAGCCGCCACTATGATCGATCGAACGATCTTCCTTCGATCAAATCCAGTCAACAAGTGCTCTGTTAAGGTTCTACAGCCGTCAAGTGGATGTACTTTCAGAATCTTACACCAGGTGGCGCGATTTAATGCCAACCTTAGAGAATAAAATTTACTGGGAGTTATTTAAATATTCAGTTTAAGAATATTTCAAATATGAATTTAATTTAAAGTTAAATTAAAAGACTCCAGTCACAAAAAATGTAAACGGTTATTTAATTATTAATTATTCATTCTCCTGCCATTTATCAAATAATAATTATTCATTCTCCTCCTATCAAGTTGGAAAACGGCAACTGGGCTAGAAGTAACGAACAGAAAGTAGAACGATTTGCAGAACATTTAGAAAGCACGTTCAAACCCAACGACAATGATGGTGAAGAACTGAGATGAGAAGAACCATTCCAAACTGAAGAAAGAATAACGTTGACATCACTTAGAGAAGTATCAACAGAGATAAAAGAGAATATAAATCCTAAGAAAGCTCCAGGATATGATCTCATAACAGGAGAACTATTAAAAAATCTACCAAGAAAAGCCATAGTTAAGCTGACACACCTAATAAATGCTGCTTTTAGATTGAGATATGTTCCCAGACTCTGGAAAGTAGTCGAAGTGATTATGATCGAAAAACCAGGTAAATCTCCCAATTAAGTGACATCCTATCCACCAATATCACTCCTTCCGGTGATGTCAAAACTATTTTAAAAACTTCTATTAAAAAAATTTAAACCAATAATAGAAAGAAAAATCTTATACCAAATCATCAATTTGGTTTCAGAAATCAACATTCCACTATAGATCAAGTTCACAGAATAACGAATATAATAGAAAAAACATTAGAAGATAATAAAGTTTGCTGTACAATCTTCTTGGATGTAGCACATGCGTTTGATAAAGTCTGGCATGACGGAAGCAACGTCCCTACGTTGACGTAACGCAACATATGCCGAAATGAATTTTGGACTCACCGTCAACGACAAACGCTATGGGTCGATGATTACCAACTTCTTTTGGTATGAATTCGATGAAATGAACACCAACGATATATGAGATGATGTGAACTGACCATCGAGATATTGCGATTTGACCTCGTAACACGCTTTTTTGTGTGATCTTCTCAAGTCTATGCGAATTAGCCACAAACCACATCGGACTACAAAGCCAACATGATAATCGGTCAAAATCAGATACATTAAAAATTAGTCATTTCGAATGCGCTTCTCCCAACAAAACCGCAGCAGGCATTTTAGCGTTGTATTATCCATACAAACTTTGTTTATTTAAATGTAAAAATAGGAAGGCTAATTAAACATTCCATATAAGAGATCCATAAATACCTCCAAGAAGAACTTCCAATGCAATTTTACAATTACATTTGATAAATAAGTGCAAAACACTTACACTCTGTCAAAATACACAAACTTTACAATATTTTGATACCATTTGGACAATATTTGCGCTGCTAAAACCACACATATTTCGAAACAATTACTGTTTTGTTGAACGGAACAGGTTTATTGTTGATATATATTTAAATGTTTAAAAAATTGATTCCGCACGTTCTATATTTGCAGGTTAGACCAATATCCCACCAAGCTGTGTTCAATACCAACGCATATATTATGCTATATGAGTTGGAATCCTCCCCCTACTCACAGAAATCTGCCCCTGCCACGGTAACTAGCAAACTCAAGACTTCAACCCCAACTGCCGAAGCCAGTTCAGTGGCTTGTTCCTCGAATTCCACCACCGTAAATTCGGCGAACGCCTCAACCAAGTCGTTCGCCAACGGTATTGGGTTTACGAGCGGGAAGGTTTATGGTCCAGAACTGCCCCCGGAGAGAATAGAGAATAGTCGAAATGGATATGTGACAAGCAGTAATGGTAAAGGTAAGTGTCTTCAAAATATTAGGGTTAGAAGTTATCTTCTATATTTTATGAGAAATAATCACAATTTTAATAGAAAATACGATTTCATTTGACAAATGTATTTTCGATCAATTTGCTATTAATATGGAATAGTAGGAATTTTTCTGTTGTTTCTTTCCGATAATGATTCTGTCAAAATTTCCCTAAATTCGTGAATCGACTATATAACGATATTAATCTGGAAATGACTTTTTTGATTTTACTAAAAGTCTATTTTGGATATGGACACCTCAGATCAGAAACATATTATGCAAAGAACAAAATGCACAAGTAAAACAGATTAATTTTTCAATTTGTTTTTTTAATTTCTTTCTCCATATATTTACCCGATCTAACTGTGACTCATCAAATATTTTCAAAGGCGATTGGACAACGGTAGTAGTTTCTTTGTGTAACGAAAAATTTTTGTTATTATATTGGTAAGATGGAAGATTTAAAAGACGTATTTGCTTCTAATTGGAAGTAATAACTACAAAACCTAAGATAACAACAAAGACGATTGAGAATATCTTGAGGCCGCAGTGTTTATATACAATCAAATAAGTTTTTAAAGTGCCTTACTATTGACAATAGTATGATGAATACTCAAAGTAAAAATATGAACAATGCAAGAAAACAAGTAAGAAGTGAAAATGCAAAAAAAACAATATACAATAAAGATTATAGATTAATAAACGAAATACGGTACCACTGGCTTCCAAGTTAATAACGTCTATACACGTCATTAGATTTTGTGTTTTCTTTCACGTCCGTTTATTGTTCTAGGTGAATCTGACAGCAGTACATCTAGCTCAAGCGAAGATTCAGACGCTGATCAGGTCATTGAGAAGCCAGTTAGTGATAATAGTAGTAGTAATAGTAAAACAATTAAAAGTGGTGTATCTAAAGAAAAAGACAATGATATTAGTTCTACTTGTGACGAACCCGGACCTTCTTCCGCGTCTTCGCAGAGAAAGGAGTCTCCTCCGTCATCGCCTAATGTTTCAACTAGCATTTCGAGTTTGTCCAGCCCTGAAGTAACGCCTAAGAAAGGTAAGAAGGGCGCATAATGACTAACGCTAAACATTTTAACTGTAAACTAACCGTTGCTTAATAATATAACTAACATTCTATTAGTCCCAGTAGCTAATTGTGGTAGGTTTTTAGACAGATCCTTTAACTATACACAAAACCTATGATAAATATGCACCACCTTGAGCCTATTAATAATTATTATTAAGTATTCGTACTAAACTCATTGCACGTTATTAATGAATACTAATAATGATAATCTGCTTAGTAGAAAATATTAAAGAGTTAATAAAGAAAATAATGTCAATATTATTGACAGATGTAAGAATAGAGAGATAGGTCAATTAAAAAAGTATAATCTTTTTAATAACTGTAAAGGAATGTATGGTATCGTAGCGGATGTTGTATTCCTGCATGATATTCGGGGTTTATAGAGCCGTGATCTGGCATTTATGTTCTTTACTAACGTTGCGTCCATAACCACGACGTGTTTTTATATTTTTTTGTATTGAGGGCCATATCAGAGCAGAAAGTTATAATAGGATAAGGAGGAGATGATTCTAATCCACACGTGGGCCAATCCGAAAGAGGATATGAAGCAATACAGGACTAGACTTAGGAACTAGAAATAAATCTCTCACTAATTCTATTAGCCTGTTACATAAGTGCTACCATTGCCTTGGATCAGTGAGGTGTGGTCATTACGTCATTGGACATAGTCTTGTGAACGCCATCTTTTGGGCGTGTTAAGCAACTGTCATCTTCTGGATGTGAACATATGAGCGAGGCCACGAGAGCTTGCATTCTAATGACGTCATGATCTCCATATTTAAAAATGAGCCAGAACGAATGTTGTGTATCTACTAATTTACAAAAGAGTCAATACATGGAATTACAAAATAAAAAAGAAATACAAAATCCAAGTACATACACAAACAGAACGAGTAATTGTATTTGAAGAAGTTGAAAATGCTTCCTCATCCATAATTATTTCCTCAATAACATCAAGGAACTCGTCTGGTGGTTCAAGTATATCCTCCATGTCATCTGGTAAAGGATCTTATATTTCTCTTGGCATTACATCTTCATCGCTACGATCACTTTCAAAGTCTTTTGTATCAGAAAGATCCTATCTAGTCATGATTTACTGAAACAAATAAAATGTCTTAAAAAAAGTAAAACATTCCTTTTTTATACAATTGGAGACACCAGATTTTAGGGACATATTACAGTTACTATAAGAAATATATGGCGGAAATTTTTATAAACATGTAATATAATATTTGTACTCCAAATAAAAACATAAAATTGATGGATGACAGACGAATAAAATGTTTGTAATAATTATGGGATTACGAGAGCTTACCTGAATAGAATGTGTAACGCAGTAAGCACAATGTAAACAGTTGTTATAGGTCAATGCTTCTATAATATTACTAGTAGTCGTAGTAAACTAGGCAACACTTGTAACACGCCAAGCGAATTGTACATAGCGCGGATACTGAAAAATTAATGTATACAGTATAAAATTGCAGACACCTTGAGTCAAAGGGTTAAGACACATACAAGCAGGTTTATTACGAAACATTTTAATTTGCCTAACGGTGTCAAAAAAGAATTATATGCTTTGTCTTGAAAAGTAATTTAGATAAAGTTTTGATATATGGAAGCTAATACGACAATATACAAACATACATATTTCTCTAAGACATGTAATTAAGAGTGCTTAACCTTCAAAAAAGATCTATTGCTGCATGAAAACATTAGATTTTGAGTTTTGAAAACCAAATAGACAATATCTACGATTTTACCTTTAAGTAAGCTAATTAATACAATGAAATGGGAGAAACATTTGCACAGGAGATAAAATGAACTATTAGTAATCCCTGAGCATCTCAAGGAATTAAAATATGTCTTCAAAGAGAACAATTAGGTAATTCAGATATGTACTTCAAAATAACTGTAACAGAACACGGTACAAGAAAGCCTAACATCGACCAAATATCAAAGAGAACCATTCACCATTCCAGAGATTTATCGCATTCCCTGTAGCTGTGGTTCAACATGATCCTAAATTAAAACAAAAAGTCAAGAGTGGTGTCAATCTGTTACTTCTACTCAGAAGCGGGTTACAGTCCTAAAATAGGTCAAGATAGTGTTAGTGTGAATTTTGCTTGTAAATTACCTCCAAACTGATAAAACAATAACTTCAGATTATTATATTAACCCGTTGGACCAGCTGGATTTAGAATTCCTGAAAAAAAACCTGAATTATATAAAAGCAAAAAAATATTTTTTTATCAATACAATGTATCCTCTTACAAAGCCCAAAAAACATTGCAAAAGCCAATTAAAAATAAGTATGAATTGTTGTAACCCATTTGTCAGATCTAATTTCTGTTTTTATCTATTAAAAATAATCAAGAAATTGGGGAAGAATTTTCATCGAAAGAAAAAATTACAGTAGTTGTCAAAGAATATTTTGTCACTCTTTTGGAGTTTTACTTTATGGATGGTATTAATAAAAAGAGATGATTACTGGAAGAAAAGTTTTGAAGTTCACTGCCGTTATATTTTATCATAAAATATATTTCTTCTTCCTTATTCGAGGAATTGGGTATTTCTGATATCAAACTTCGTTTCATTCATCTTTTCATAAAATCGCATTTTTCTTATCGAATTACAAAGCTTCTTACTGAACAACTACTAAAATGTCTTCCAAAATTATAAATTAAAATGTTTTTCATTCTCTTAATTACAGATTCTTCATTGAGTCCAGTGTCGTCCTCGAAACAAAAAAGCAAAGAGAGTCCTTCGAAATCGCAGATATCCAAACCGCTGGTACCATACGAATCGGACGATACCAGTTCTTCAGAAGACTCGAATCAATCGCCCAATGAGTTGGGCTCAAGGGTATCAACGAAAGCGGCCGTGGGCGAATGGCAGGTGACCTCTTCGACTGACGTAGACCAAGAACCTTCCAAAGGCAACGGTTGGAAGTCCAAGAAGGAGAATGGACAAGGAAATCAGGGTAATAGTAAGGTACAGATATTTTTTATTATTGATGTCGATTTTTTGACCTACAAGTGAATATTTCAGGTGGTAACTGAACTGTTCAGACTGTCACACAGCGGTTATTCGGCCCCAGTTTCTTCGTGGAACGGTTCCAGATCTCAGCTCGATAAAGAGGTTCAAAATGAAAGGCGCGAGGACAGGAAGAGGGGATTAGCGGATAGTTCGGATCAGGGTCGAACGAAACACATCAAACTCGGATCTACTTTTAAGTCAAATCCAGGATATAATCCTGTTCAAGTAAGTACAATTTCAAATATATGTTTACACGTCTATGTTATAAATCAAAAAATCTTGAAATAGCTACAAATAGTGAATTAGTGCTTAGTCCGGCAAGTATCAGATCTTTTACAATCTGATTACCTCAAAAGTTATAAAAGCACATTTGTCTCGCCCATAAACTAAACAGAGACCTATCCAAAGACACGAAAATCTAAAATGTTTTATGTACTCTTTGTTATCGTATATTTTCTTCTTATACTTGGCCAATTTCAACAATTACAGCCAGTAATCTAGATACCCTTTGAATAAGGCTATTAACGAAGTTCGTGCCTTATTTTACTTTTACTCATCTCGCACATCTGTATGTTAAGCCGTTTAAGACACTATAAAATTAAAGCCCCTTTGGCATGACGCTATATTTGATTTTTATATATTTTTGTATTGCTCGTCCATTCCCTTTTCCAGCGACACCCAGCGCATGACTGCACGTATAGACACTGGATCTAAGGTTCTCGGCCTGACACACAGCGACATTTATTTTGCTTCCCTTTGTCACTTAAAGCTCTTCATCCAGCCCTATTCTCTTAATGAACTTCCACAGCCTTGAGAGAGGTCCTTGCATATATACTGATGCTTTTAGTTTTTCGCAGTTCTATATACCGCAGCCTTGTGAGTTCTTCACACTGATATAACGTGTAGAGCGATTTCCTCTTCTACACAGAACCAACAAGTATCCTCTTCCGTCAAGCCTGCGACTCAAATACTTATTCTAGTCTAGTCAGGGGCCCCACTGTCACTCAGTCTTTCGATTGTGGGTCAGTAGGTCGGCTATGAATTTGACTGAAAGATTACACCATTCCAATTACTTTTCTTGCAGCCGTTTATCAACACCTACTGTTTTATGTGTGTTCACAACCCCAAAGCAAGGGTTCCGGCCAATTAATGGTTTATTAGCTTAAAAAATTAGAAGAATATCTATTGATGAAAGATTCGATTCGTAACTATTGTCAAAATTTTATGACTTTATGTCATTTATTACTTTATGTCATTTATAACATTTATATTATCCAATTAATAGCAATATTCAATCATCTATTTAAATTTTTGTGAAACTTTTCGTTTTAAAATATTTTCATATAAATATAATTGTTATTTTTAAACGTCTTATTTAGTTATAGTTTATTCGTCTTCCGGGTTTGGACCGTGTCATTTGTGAGTGACCCAAAAGTGGGTTCATCTCGACGTTTCGCTACAATTATATGTAGCTTCTTCAGGAGAAACAAAGAAAAAGAAAAAAGAAAACAAAAGAACAGGAAGATGGGTAGTTAGCAACGGTAACTCAGTTACTCAACGCAACCAGAGGCGAATACTAACTACCAAGATGGGCATTTGGTCACAGTAACTCAACTACTCAACGCAGCCAGAGGTGAAAACCAAATGCCAGGACAGGGATTCACGTCCAACAGCTCAGAACACTAACGCGTCGAGAGGCGGGAGTGAATCCCCGGATTCACTCCCCGCCTCTCGACGCGTTAGTGTTCTGAGCTGTTGGACGTGAATCCCTGTCCTGGCATTTGGTTTTCACCTCTGGCTGCGTTGAGTAGTTGAGTTACTGTGACCAAATGCCCATCTTGGTAGTTAGTATTCGCCTCTGGTTGCGTTGAGTAACTGAGTTACCGTTGCTAACTACCCATCTTCCTGTTCTTTTGTTTTCTTTTTTCTTTTTCTTTGTTTCTCCTGAAGAAGCTACATATAATTGTAGCGAAACGTCGAGATGAACCCACTTTTGGGTCACTCACAAATGACACGGTCCAAACCCGGAAGACGAATAAACTATAATTCTGACTCTGGCCGTGGAAGCCTACGATTTCATTTGTCTTATTTAGTTTCTATAATGATTAAATTTACCATCTTCTTCTTCAAGTTCCGCTCCTATCGGAGATTGAAAATCATTCTGGTAATTATAAAATTTTGTTTGTTACGCGCCTGAATAGTTCAATTGAACTGCATTCAAATTATGAAGCATTATTTGGCAATTTACTATCAAATGATATTAATTTAATATCTCGTCTGAATTTGACAGGTCTGTCAGAAGTAAACAATGAATGCTTTTTTAATACGTAAACATTATTATGCAGCTTTGTGCTATTCCTACTAATTTTTTTCTTTTTAAATATTTTGTCATATCTTAATAGTTGTGTTTTGTCTTGATTTATTATTAATTCCATTACTTTCCCTTGTTATATATGTATTATGTAAGTTAAATTTATTTGACTAGAAAGCTACTAAATAAAATACTATTTTCTAACCTATCTAAAAGTGATTATATTTTTGTTGATCTTTTTCCATTTTCCGAATCTTACTAGTAGCAATATAAGTCGCCTCACCTACATCTCCCTTCTTACGATTAGAGGTTCAGTCTCTAAGAGTATTTGCATTCAATACAATGTTTATTTATAAAATTACCATAATTGTTGATTGCAGGAATACCATAACGCAAAAAACTGGAACCACAACAACGGTGGCGGGGGAAACTATAAATCCTTCTACAATGGCAACAGACACCGGCGCATGTTCCACCACAAGAACTTTCACAAAAACTACCGCTATAGACAGTGATGGCAAACTCAACTGCCTTGTGAAGTTTTAGGCTAGTGTATATTTCTGTATATTTTAATTTTTAATCTTTTTCGTGAGAATATGTACGGAATAATTGTTGTATACGTGCGTTTTAATTGTGACATTTAAAATAGATAATACTCGACGGGAAAACATCGACTAAGTTTGATGGAAAGAAGTCATTTCTTTTTTTAAGTAGTAGATCGGAAATGATGATTTTATTGCAATTATGTTTATAAAATAACTATACTAGTTGGATTTTATGTATGTTCACGTATATTCTGATCAAATGAAGAGAATGTATAATTTTAAATGGTGTTTATTTTATTCGTTATAATAGTGATAAAAAATATTTGTATTGGTAACTTCCTATTAAATCTGTTGCACGTCATCTTATTAGACGTTGTCATTTTCGCATAGCGTTGCCGTATTGTCTGGACAGTAGAGAAACAAAATGGAAGTGTAAGGTTATTGTTGTTAAATCTTCTTATCATTTTTTAAGGCTATATCGTAGACAATTCACGTAAACTTTTATTAATTCAAATAATTAGAGTAACAGTAACAAATTGCGACGACAAAACTAATTAGTCATGATGAACACACAATTTTTGGCCAGATATTGAAATATTTAGGGCACAGCTGATTAAAACATCGTTTAATTGTTTTTGGCATTTTTTGACGGAAGTATGATACATAATTGTTTATTCACAGCAATATAGGTTCGTTTATATTCAATAAAGTTTTTTGACATAAATGAAAACCCATATTGCAACCCTGTAAACAATATTGAAAATTTTTGTTGTTCCCGTCACATAACTAAGTCAATTGGGGTACGGTTTGTTCAATGCTATTGAAGAAGCTGCTTTTTGAGTTAGAAACTTTTAAAATTTAGTCAAAATTATCTCAATTACATTTTACGCCGAGATTAATATATTGTCGCTGTGGGCAGTACTAACAGTGTAGTGATAATTCATAGATAGAAAAAAAAGTAGAAAAAATAAAACGGAATGTGACACTCCGGGTATAACCGAGGAGGGAAGCATAGTTTTCTTACCGTCTACGTACGGAGCGATGGTTTTTAATTTATTTTAATTTTATTTTAGTTTAGTTTATTAGTTTATTATATAGTATGAGGTCTCGTTGGAAAGGGGAGAGGGTAACTAGTACAATGACGTAAAAACAAATATGGCGGCATTGTCAAAAGGGCATTACATCATATCTCCGTTAATATTGGTTCGAGTGGAGTGCGTAATGCACTCAATGAAAGAGGAGGGGATAAAGATTATATTAAGATACAAACATCAAACAAGGCGACTACCGAAAAGGAACTACACATCATCGTTATTAATGAATGTAGAGTTTCATACGAGATAACATGGGGCGCTATGGATGAAAATAGATTTACTATAAGACAAAATTTGATTTATTGACTTTATTATTTATTTACTTAGAGGGCCTCTGGCTGAGTACAAAAACTGATCGAATCCTAAAATGCGACAGAAAATGAAAATGGGGATAGCATTTATATTGAGATAGAAAAAAATAAACAAGGCGACTACCAATTGAGCATTTTACAGCATCTTCGCTAATAATGAACGTGTACAGTTACACCTCTTTCTAGTTTTACCTCTCCTTGTGGAGTATTGGGCGTTATGCGTTTCTTGGTCAAAACTTTAAGATTGCTGACTGGCCTGGTCAGCGCAGAACGTATATTACATACGAGTTTAATATTTACAAAAAAATATTAATTTTATTTATCTTAAATTAATACTTATAATTTCAACGCAATTTAAGATATTTTCACTTGTGTCGGCACTTCCCCGAGTGCAATACCAAAGAATATAGACGCTTATAGAAGAACAGTTCAAATGGGCGATTTGGTTACGGTTTATACTTTTAAACACATCTGGCAGTCGGCTTAAAACTATCATAAAAGATGTAGTTAGGGGAAAGTGGGAAAGGAGTACGAACGGAGCTATTTATTTAACTTTGCATCTACGATTAAAAAAATTCCCGTGCTTTTTTTGTTTTTTTCACAATAAAATCTTTATTTTTAATATATTAAATTGTTAAATTTTTAATTTTTAAACTTAAAAAGGTATGATATTTACAATATTCAAAGCATTTATTTTTTACAGTTATGACTTTGAATTAAAAATAGGTATGTTCCAACACAACGAAAAACCGTCAAATAAATTTTTATTATACTGTTTTTCTGCCCAAAAATTAACGAAATATTTTTTAAAAATTTCAAAATTTTTCAATCAAAAATTTAATTTTCCACTTTTTGGACAATTTTCCATTATTCTGCAGAAAAACAGTGTTGTGTTTTACATTTTATGTTATTTTATATTAAAAACAAAGAAGAAGAAATTATTAAATTTAGAAAATTTGGAAATGTTTAATTCCGGTGATTGATGACTTTATTGATTGAATTAATTTTATTTATAGTTAATAAGAAAAGAGTTTTAAGTATATTATTTGTAGATTTGTACATATTTAAATTAAAAATTTGAATCATAATATTTTTCTAATAGGATTCATTTACTAAAAGTTAAAATATTATTTTCTTTAAAAAATGTTATAAAACGCAAAAATTTAATCCTATTCTACGGCCACGCGGCATCATAAAAATATCTGTTGCATTTGTTGCCCCACTCTTTCATATTTTAAAAGCAATAATAGCGCCGACATGACCGCTTCCTACTGGTACTAACATCTCGATCCACCCTCTCATTCTTTTTCATAACGTGCGATCATCTTTTGCCAACTTTCAAAATAACAGTGAAAGATTCTTCTATAAGCGTCTATATTCTTTGGCAATACCTTCTTGTTATTTTAATTTATTCTATTTTATTTATTTTATATTATTATTTTATTTATTTTATATTATTATTGTATTTTAATTTGTTTATTTTATTGGAAATACGCATGGGACTGCGTTTACTATTCCACGTAGTGTGTGGTCTTTTCCTACCTGCGGTGCGGTGGCGCGACCCACCGCACCGATCAATGCATTCCATCAGTACCCGAGATAAAAGGCTATGCTTCCAGAAAGGAATATCTGTATCCAATAAAGGATATATTGCTGTTTAATAGGTGGCAATAAAACAGACAAGTCTTGAACGTAGAGCCAAAACTGTTGATATGGCTGCCTTATACTGCCAAATCTCATAATTGTAAAAGCAATTAAGTGTTTATAACAATTTGAATCGATAATAAACGAGGTTTTGACACTTTTTGGCTCAATCAACTGCACCCCGATAGTAAATAGACATTCTTTTTATAGATTTAAAAGATACTTTTCTATTTACCAGCATACATTTAGATATTCTTTCTATTTATAGCAAGTTAGTTGTAGCGACGACTTACTGATACGAATGCTCGTGGATGTTGTAGTAGGTTTCAGAATGTTTAGTATGACGTGCAATGGAATTAAAAGGAGACAAGTTATATGTAGGTGTATCTTGCAAGCAAAGCAGTTTTTAAAGTAGGTAAAGTTTGACGTAAAACAAATAAGTACAGTTCTCCTAATAATTTTATTTTCACATGAGAGTCTTGACCTTAATTTACTTTAATGTTTGTCAACAACATTGGGGCACTTATCGTCCCATCAGCTTTTGATTCCTAAAAGTGTACTATCTGCACCACGGTCGTTTTGACATCTGCATTATCGTGGTGCCAATCATAACAGATGTTTCTTCAAATGCAGAAACAGATGGAGATAATGAATACATACAATAAATGGTACAAAATTACAAGATGGGTGAATACTGTCTACATCATTCCTCAATATTGTCGGTTGGAGCAAGTGTTGGGGAATTTAAAATGACCTAATTCTCGCTACAGTCGCACTAATGTGTTGGAACTGTCGATAGGGTTCAATGCTCCGCCTTATATTGCCAAATATATGTCATAAAGTTGGTTCGAAGTTGCGCATGAATCGTGACATTGTTTTGGTGCGCTCAACTAGTCCAGATTATAGTAAATACGGAGAAAATTAATATACAGGATTCGGCATGAAATAAAAAAATTAACAAAAAAAAAATATTTTGCTAAAAGTTGGAGCATAGATAGGACCATATTTTAAGCAAATTTTTAAATATACATGGCCACCCATATTGACGGGTGGAACAAACATTTTTGTTTTTTTTAATGAAACACCCTAGGTACATATTTTTACATTGTGGACTCTTCTGGATGTTCCCATTTTTTAAATATAAGGTTTCGCAGGTTTATACGAGGTAGTTTAAAAGATAATTACATCTTTTTATTCTTTTGGTGGCAAAATTAACACCCTGTAAAATTGTAGAGTTCAAAACATCAAAGTATATCAAAGAGTACATCAAAAAATATATTTATGTCCAAAAGATTTTTAATATAGTATACTATTGTCTAAATTATTAACATTGCGAAATAATTAATTTTGACATACAGGGCTGGTAAAAACTTGAAAACAGTATCTAGGGAGTTTTCTTAAATGCAACACCCTGTATTGTAATCAAATGTTGTTTTATGATACTTTATTATTTTTTAAAAATTCCGTATGCTTATTCCTAACTGCTTTAATTTTTGTACTATTCGTGATTTTCCCCAAGAATGCAATTCATAAACAGACATAATTTCCAATGTTACTCAACTTTTAATTTACACTATATTTTGACCCACAGTCAAACAGATCACAAAATGATCATTAAATGTTTTGGCAGGAATTCCTGGAAATTATGTCATATGGCCCTTCTTTTTCGAGGATCACGTAAACGGAAAAATGTATCTACATTTTTTGGACAACAAATTGCCGGAATTATTTTAAGTACCGTTAAACATACGTGAGAGAATGTAGATATAGATGAAAAGGAGCGAAAAGGTGGCCTCCACGATCTCCCAGAATTTAAAAAGCTAGATTTTATTTTCTGGGGCGAAGTAAAATATAAGGTTTATAAAACACCAGCTACAACTTAAGAAGATATAAATGAGAGAATTAGAAATGAATGTATGATATTAAACAGAAATGTATTAATTAGTCGCTATTTTGAAGATTGCTTGCAATTATGGCGACAGAGACTGTTTTGAAAATTTATTATAAATTCTACGATTTTTTTTAATCAATACAGATTGCCGCCTATGCCGATGACATTAGCATCACATCTCGTAGAACAGAAGAGGCGGCGTAAATATATTAACAATTTAAAAAGGAGCATATTGAACCTGTATAAAGTTTCACATATCTGTGAGTTCCATCCACCCGGATGGAATAGAAGAACCCGAAATTCAAAGAAGAATAGTAAAGGGAAACAAAGCTTACTTTTCACTCGCCCACGTGTCCCGCTCCAAAAACACACTGGAGATCGAAAATTGGTGATGACAGAAGACAAAACGAAAGCTGGAAGTATTAGAAAGAAAAGTCCTAAGAATAATTTTTGGACCTATTAACGAA